CGTAACAGAAACCAAAGAAAGTTATTTATGATAACAAAACGTGTGTTTTTCTATACAAAAGATTTTATCATTTTACTTATACATTAAATGTATTTATTATTTTTTTTTACTTTATTGTTTCTTTTTTCATTTATACGTGTATGTACTCAAATAAAAAATATAGACTCTAAAAAGGATAAAATATACTGACATTACAATAAGCATTAACAATTGCAAAATACGTATGTATTGTACACAGAGCCGAATTTACCTAAAGACAGAACAAACTGCAAATTATGGCCTCGGGGAACAGGCAACAAAATCGAAAATTCGTAATTTATTTTTTATTATATGCATTAAAACACGAAATATGAACCAAATGAGCAAGTACGAGAACTAGACCCCAGTCGTTCAGCGTTCTGTCGCGATAATAAATGAAGGCGTGTGGAGCGGAGCAAAGGAAGCAGTGATAGCAGGAACCTACATTTCTGTAAATTATGGTGTAATTTTTAAAAGGACCACGGGAATTTTAAATCCGGCCCTTATTACATACATTTCAATTTAAATTTGTATTTAAATGTATTCTTACTTAAAAAAGAAGCAACATATTCCATGTATAAAAAATGGCCTAAATATTAAATCATCTAGAGATTATTATAATATTAAAATTGTATAAAGAAATCAAATATTATACAAAATAAAAACACACTCATACTTTTCGTATTTCTATCGAAACAAAAATAAATATACAATGCATACCTTAAAACAAAAATCAAATATAGGAGAAAAACAAAAGTAAATAATGCTTGGAACGTGCTTTTTATTTCAATTACATACAAACGTATAATTTGCAATAATAAATTTTGGGAGTTTTACTACCTGTAAGAGTCTATTTTTGTTTCCAAATATGTGTATAAATTTTAATTTCTCTTATTTTGATAAATATATTATATTAAAATATATATGTATAATAATTAAAACATCTTTTACAACATTATACAGGGTGGCTTACAAATAATAAATAATATACTGAAACTGAATACTACTTAATAAGCTAGTTCAAAAAATTTGGAAGGACCCGTTGCTTCAAAACAACTATGCAGCGAAATCTAGTATTTTTCTGAGTTCAAAATCCCCAATCGTCACCTGCTCTATTACTCGTTAATCGTATATACCACTCTGTATAATAATATACACATTATATAGTGCATTAAATTTACAAGCAAAAAAATAAATAAATAAATATTTTGTTTCCTTAGATCTCAAGCCACAAACTAAAAGTAAAATTTTTATTTTGTATAAGGTAAAAAAAATTATGAATTATTAAGGTCATTTATTCTTTAATTTTTCTTACTTTTTTTTGAAAAGATTGTAATTATTTATAACTCAATTATTAAGGTGAGTAAATAAATAATGTGTTTGACGTGATGCACATATATGTAGACTTTTACTATTACACACACATAGAAACTACAACAGACAGTATAAGCCTATACTGAATACGCTGTATAATTTTAATTATACAGAATATTATATGTATACTGTATAATATTATATTACAATTTATATTATATTACCATCTATCCCGGCCGGAAAATGTCTACTACTCAATTTTCCTTCAATTCTTCCTTACTTTAATATTTTATGATTTTCATATACAAATTATATTTAATAATTTGTGGTATTGTGTAATAAATAAGTATAACAGTTATGAGTATAACAGTTGTGAGTATAACAGTTATGCTTATAACAGTTACGAGTGCAACAATTATGTGTATAACAGTTATGAGTATAAAAATTATGAGTATAATAGTTATGAGTATAACAATTACGAGTATAACAGTTATAAATATAAGAGTTTTGAGTCTTATTTTTGTCTCTCTACCTCTCCAATTTGTTCCTGATACACTTTAATGAAATTAAAAAGAAAATTTCAATTTCAATTACTATCTCTAACATTCAAATTAGCTGTATACCACATTAGTATCCAATTTATCAATTATCTTTTATAAAATGAGTAATATACCGCAGTATTACTGCAATATCGAACTCAAGGTCGTTTATACTGTATAAATATCATTACGCCATCATTGCTTTATTTAAGAAGATAATAAAATTCTCAAAAAGATAAAATAATTTTATTTTTTATAATATTTTTTATGATTTATATATTTCTTTATAACAATTTTATAATTTTCCATAAAGAAAAAATTTACTTTTGGATTTATTAAAAATTCAAAAAAAAAAAACAACTAAGTAAAAGAAAAATTATTTAAATGAACAAATTTTATTATTAAATATGAAATAAAAAATTTGATAAATACATTTAATTTATTTGGTAAAATAAATAAATTAAAATCAAGGTTTCCAGGCTATAGAATTTTGAAATGAAAATTTTATAAAATTTTCTTTTCATTATACGGAGTATTTCAACAGAAAATTGAACATATCAAGTAAATAACAGTAATACCCAGTTACAATTGTATTAAATTTCAGTAGGTTATCCGTTTAACTAGGCAGAAAAAATCGCGAATTTTTAAAACATACGTATTTATAAATTTACTGATTTTTCATCACTTTAAACTATTTGTCAAAACAAAATTTTGTGATAAGTGACATCACAAATGTCAAATTTCTTTTTCAATACAGATATGCACTTAATTTTAACGAACCATTTAAAAGATTATGGCCAGTATAACAGTTTAAGTGTATAAATTTCTATATATAAATTAATATAAGTAATATATTTTCTATTTTTTTATTTATTATATTTTATTTTTTATATTTTAATTACCTACTAATGTAAGTAGTTGAAGCGAATTTTGCTGAATATCTCATAGTTAGAAAATATTTGTTGAATTTTAGCCATTTCGAAATCATCCAGGGTTTACAGTATACATGCCAGTATGACGGCATGTGTGTATACAATATTACATAAGTAATATACAAATAAATAATATTTATATACAGCTGCGTCCTTTTACTTTGAAGGTGATATTCAAAAAAAAAAAAAATTTTATTGCATATTTTTACTTTTCTTCTTGTCATAAAAAGTCAAAACTTTTATTTATTTACCAATATATAAAGAGTAAACATGCCTTATCTATTGGATATCATGAAAATAAATCGGAAATTTTATATCCTTCTTGATTCTGATATCATTTTATATATTTTATTTCTACTATATTGAATAAAATAAATTCCATATCGTAAATTAAAAACTGTCAATTTGCATATTATATGTATAACATACAAATAATATAATGTAAATAAAGTATATATATTATTTACATTAAATATATAAATATATACCTTCAAATAATCTTTTTATAGTTGCTCATATTTTATAATAATAAAAAATATTACTTAAATTCATAAAATCAGATTTTTTTCTAAAGAATTTATGAAAAATATGCAAAAATGGAAGCATTTATGACATATGAACTCTGAATTTTTATATACATACATACATATATAAAGATAAAAACTGTATAATTAATATCTGCCATAAATTTAATTAGATATTATATGGATTAAATACATAGATTAAATTGTTATTAAATTATAGAAAATTAGAAATATATTGCTAATTATAATTGCGATAATAAAACCAATTTTACAAAATATTCATATATTCAGTAAAAAGCTTTTGGTTTTCAAATTATTACAATGGAATAATATTACATATGTATGTGTTAAAATTAATTACGGCAGATATTGTCGTATGGAAGTGTAATAATTCCAAAAACGCACAACAGGTCCATCTATTATAATATTTATCAAAAATGTTTGGGACGTATATAAATCGCGGCTCAGTTTGCTTAATAATATGTTCATATGTGAATATAAGATTCATTGCCTATACTCTTATATGGATAAAATACAAAATATTTACTAATTACAGTTGAATTCATACGCCATTTTTAGTTGATTTCGAGAAAAACGAGTTTAAAGTTGGAGATAAAACAAAGAAAAATAGTGAAATATATGGAACAAATGGTGGATATTCAAAAAAAGCCGATATTCTCAAGAACTACAACAGAATTAATGATTATCCGTTTGAAGAAAGATTCTCAAAAGAGTGCATTTTATGAGGAACAATTTTTTAGTGCAAAAACGACGTATGGGCCAAATTAATAATTATATGTGAAAAATACAATTTGATTGTGTTGAAATTTATAAATCAAAATATTTACATTTTGACTGTGTCTTTTTGATCATCATACCAAAATGAACTTGAAACGTAACACTCAAAAGAGCAAAAATTAAACATTTTTTTAAAATATATAGCGTACATATTCCTGTTCAAAATTCTATTATAGCCAATATAGCCGTATCGATTCGGATATTTGTTACTTTGTTACTGAAATTACTGAAGAACGAACAAAATAAGAAATTTGATGCTTGTTGTAAAGATGCTTATTTTTTATTTTTAAAACTTCTGTAGATCGTCAAAATTACAAATCAGGTAAATTCACTATGTAAAATGGAAGCATTTTCATATAATCGTTTAAGTTTTGTTAGAAAATCTTTAAATTTAAAAATGTTAGTAATTTAAATTTATGAATTAAATGGAAATATACACATAATAACTTTAATTCAATGTAGATTTACTGTTAACTGTTAAAAGGAACACAGTGTTCTGACCATCTTGACAATAATATGTTTGAATATTAGTTGCAAGTATAACTTTTCACTTATCATTTTAAAAAAAAAAAAAAAATTTTTGGCAGATATCGTTTGTCACAAAATACCATAATATTGTCAAAAAAAAATTTTTTTTGACATTTGTGCTCTTAAAATATTCATGTACATTACATGCCAAAATCTGGTTTTCAATTTTAGAATATTTGAAAAATCAAATATTTTTGAAGACCCTGAATAAAATATGAAATCCTATAAAAGCATAATATTTTATAAATAATTAATTTTTATAATAATATTAATGAAAAAAATCAAAATTGAGAGAAAAAAGTAATCAAAAAGAGAAAGAGAATTGAAAAACAAAAATCAAAACTTACCGATCAATTTCTTTATTTTTATCCTTTTCTTTATCCTTTATTTTATCTTTATCTCTTTCCTTATCTTTATCCTTACTTTCCGACATTATAAAACCAAAACAAAGTGTTCGACCAATTTTTTGTCTTTTCAAATAAAAAATTTTTTTTGAATTGTAGAGAAAAAAAAAATTAAGATAAGCAGAGAGCGTCTGCAGACAATTTTAATAATTTTTTGTATCTTTCTCTTTCTTCCTCTTCTTCCTTCTACTCTGTCTCTTAAGCGTCTTACTATTTCTTAAGCCCTTTATTATTTTTTTCTAGTTCTTAATTTTTTTTTAATATTTTTTCTATTTTTAAAAATCTAAGATTTAAAATATTTTTTATTTTAATTTTCACAAATTTGTTATGAAAATGTTTTTTTTTCGGAATTTTTTTTATATTTTTATTATTTTTGTTTCTTGATTTTTATTTTCTTGTTTTTGTTTTTTTTTTTTGCATGATATTTTATTTTATTTCTCTTTTTTATTTTATTATTATTTTTCGTACACACGTTGATTTATTTTTTTTATTTATTTATTATTCACTTATAGTATAAGAGAGAGACAGAGAGAGAATAAAAATTTTTATTCCATTATGAAAATAGGTTTTATTTTTTTTTTCTTTCTCATCACCAACAAACAAAAAACGAAAAAGAAAAATTATCAAATCAAGAGAAAAAATAAGAAAGAGAATTTTTATAATTTTTTTTTTTTATTTTTTTTTCTCTTTATATAGGAACGCACATAACAAATTTTCAATTCAAAAAATTGAAAAATTTTTAACAATTTATTTAATTTAATTTATTTTTTTTTTTATTATTGTTTTTTTACTTTATTTCTATTTTTCTCTGCATAATTTTTAATTCAATTTTTTCTTTACAGCTTGTTTTATTTTTCATATATTTTATTTTCTCTTTTGAAACCTTTAATTTTAATGACACAAAGCATCATCATCTTGTTCACATGATATTCTTATAAAAAACAAAATCATGTTTTAAAATTCAAATACCTTGAGTCTTTTGTTATCAAAACAAATTTTTTTTTTTCTGTTAAATATCTAAGACTCGTTAAATGGTTGATCCTTGAAAATTGGGCCTCTTGAAATTTCATATTACGAGTATGTGTATAACACAATTTATTCTATATAATGATAGCATATTTTTTATTTTTGTATAATATTATATTGTAGGTACGAGATAACCTGGTTATGAGTTAACATATTTTTCTTTTTATTAATGCTCTCCTTAATGTTCATACATGTGTATGTTCATATATATGTTAAATACATGTGTTTATAAAACATATATATAATTCAGCAATTATAAAAGATTTGTTTTCTTCCAAAATAAAAAAACACGAGAAAAAAAAAATAACGAAATATTTTTTATGATGTTAAAATATTATGAAAAGAATGAAGATTTTAAACAAGAAAAAAAAATTTTTTTTATTATATTTTCCTTGATTGCTTGTTTTGTAAAAATAAAATCATAATAATGGAGAAAATAAAATTTCCCGTTTATTAATTTTCTTTATTATTCATAGATATGTTGATATTTTATTATACGTTATATGGCACCTCATGTATGTACATACATATGTAGTTTATGTGTATTACAGTAGGAGGAAGGATGAAAATTATACCTGTACTTTAAATATTGCATACATCTAGGTGCAAATATAATAAAATTTTTGCAATCTTTCCGTTTTACATTCACATTCTATACATTCATGTTACTGTTATGAAAGTTATGTTATTTGTTATAGAAATGCTGTAAAAAAAGAAAATAACATTTTTTAATTTTAATTTTTTTTATAATTTGTTTTTATCTATTTATGTTTATATTAAAATTGTTTATACATATATTATATAATTTTTATCTGCGTAAAATGTATATGCAATATATACCACTTATATGCCAGTAATATACTTCATTTTATAATAACATGTTTTTCTAAAAATATGATTGGAATTGATACTTAAATAAATTATTTAAAACAAATTCGAAAGCCTTAATCAGAGGTATTTACCTACTCCAAAAAACTTAAGTGTGCATATTTCCAACTTGGAACTAAAAGTGATTTTTGAAAAATTGAAAAGTTTTCAAAATTTTCCTTTGAATTAGAAATTTAACAAGTAATTTTGACACGAAATTTAAAATAGCAAATATTTTTTATTTTAAAATAAACAATATTTTAATTAATGACATCATTTTATGTCTGTCAATTAAACCTAGCTCACGTTAAGATTATATATACGAAAAAATTTAAAATTAAAATCTGAGTTTAATCATAGTTGAATACGTAAGCACAGTTTGACATCTGAATTCCTATGACAGTAAATAAAAATAATTACTCTATTCTCATTGAATTTACTGTAAGAATTTGTAAAAGTAAAATTGCGACAATTAATTTGTTGTGAAAGTATCGAAAAGTAATCAGCTGATTTTTGGGTATAATTTTTGTAATACATAAAATTTTTAAAATCTGAACTCGATCTGTTAATTTCAATCTGATATGTAGACTTTATACCGTAGATTGAAACCTTATATTTTGTCGTTTATTAAAACAGTATAATTTACTTTATGTTAAAAATCGATTCTTCACACATTGGTACCCATATACTTGTCCCATATATATAGTATTGTATATATACTTATATAAATTCATATATTATACCTGTATGCCATATTTTATATTCTTTATAATTTATGCCAAAATTTTAAAGAAATTTGTAAACTAAAGGAAAAACTTTTAAAAAAAAGGCCTTGTAAATTTTGGAAAACTTTTATTCTTATACATATTTTTAAAATAACTTTTATTTTAAATTTATTTTCTTATATAATAAATTTGGCAAAAAATCTGTTATAATCTCTATCTACAATTACAGATATATTGAATTCCATATAAAACAAACCAAATCTAAAAAAAATCTGTTGTAATAACTAAAAATAAAACCCCCACAGCAATTATATCGAAAAAAAACTAAAACAAAGAAAAAAATTTACTTGTATAACTGCCTATAACGTGCCAAAAGTAATATTCAAACTTGCAAAACTGAATGAAAATCTGGATTTTAATGACCTTCAAAGTAATTTAAAAACAAAATGTTTCCCATAAATACTATACAACAAAAAACTTTTATCTTATAAAAAGGAGAAAATGAAATTCTTAACTTTTTAACTATTCATGAGATTTTCTTCATCTTCTTCTTCCACAATATTTCTGTTTAATCAGTCAGTTAATTGATTTTTTATATAATGATTTCTTTTATAATATCTTATTTAGATCAAAAGGAAAAAAATATCTTGTGTAAGCATAAATTTATTTAAATAAAAAACAAAAACTAAATAAAACACGAATTTCTGGGAAACAAGAAAAAAATTATTCTTGAACTTACCAAGTAAAAATTTTGAGGAAAATTTGTGTATGTTCAAGCCTTGTTTACACACGGCTACAATTTTATTATTTTGCTAATAAAGAGTGTTTTTTACTAGCTTTTCTTCTTTTAATATTTGAGTCTTCACAAATACGTGATTCATTACAATATTGTTAACGTCAAATCGATTTGTTATTTGTCATTTCTATAAATTATAAGAAAAACTAGTGAGGCCAAAATGACGCTTATAAAATTCATAATAAGGAATTTAATATTATTAAGCGTGGTACGCAATTAATTTCACGTTTTGTATTTTATCAAACTGCTAACTGAAATAATTCGATTTGACGCTTCCAAACTTTTTTTTTTTTGACGTTATATAAAATCGCCTGTTTATATCGATCAATCAACATCGATTCTAAGTTTGGAAAATAATATCGATTATTTAATTGATTGCGATATTTTGCCCGAAATATGCAAAAATAATGACTCTAGTTTGATTGGTTCTCGACTTAGAATCATCTAAATTTTATTGAGGTGGCTAGCACTTACATGAAATTATGCTTAAATAAGAGCAATTGATTTGTTATTCTTATTAAAATGTTATTCAATAACTTACATTAAATTTGAAAATAAAACGCTTACAAATAAAAAAAAATTACACTTTAAGAAAAATATTCATGAAATTTTTATTGCACCAAAAAAATTCAATATAAATTTTGAAGCCTTAGCCCAACCGCCCATTATTTTATATTTTTTTTTTTTCCTCTCTTTTAACAATTTGATTTTTATTCCTGATTATCTCTTACGTATTTATTTTTTCACCCCGATTTTTATGGTTTTAGTATTTTTTCATATTTTAAATTATTACAAATTTTTGAAGGCAAGTGAATCAATGTACTCGTATACATTATACCTACATTTATACTTTAATAAAAATGTATGAAATCCTTGCTTTATTTTAACATTAAACACTAATACCGAAAAAAGATTTTTATTTATAGGAATACAATTTTTATGTTCAATATACATTTTTGGCTTATATACAATTTTACAAATATAATAACTGTATATGTATAACAGCTGCTATTTTGATGTTAAAATAAATTAACGATTTCTTTTATGTCGACAAATATATGTATAAAAGAGGAGCGGCGAGCTGAAGGAATAAGGTGGAAGAAAATAAAATCATAATTTTAATATGATATTTTTTTTTGTTCTTATATTCTCATAGGTAAAATCTATTCAATTTCAAGACAATATTTTTGAATTTATTTTTATTTAAAAAAATATATAAATTTTATTTTATTCATTTTAGTTTTATTCGGAAGAAATATGTTAATGAAACAGCGGAAAACTAAAAGTGATTTCAAATCAAAATATTAAGAATCTTTAGTGTTTTATCCATTATACAAAAAAGTAACTATTCTATAGGGCTGTGGAATCAGATTGGAAATACGAATTGAAAATTCCAAAAATTTTCTTCATAAATTTTATTCATATAGAGAAATTAGAGTGGAATATGAGAGTAAAACGAAACTATTGGTCATTGGATCAGGATCGGAATTAAAATGAGGATTTTTCATTTATTTTTTTTAATTAAAATTAAAAAAATAATAATTTGACTTCAAAATTAATGTGGTATAGACATTATAATTTAGCTTATAATATTCGTATAATTGCTGAATGATAAATGTGCTAATACCGAATGATTGTAATTTTAAAATCAGTGAGGCTGTATTACTTCAGTAACTATTTAAACTTAGTGTCTCAACTGAAACGATAATTTTCATAGATCTCATAACCTAAATTACATACAAACTGTATACGAACTGCAATTTTAAGTGTCTGACAAAACAATATTTGGAAATTAGCAAAAAAATTTCTTGAACTCATACCAAAAATTTAAAAATATTTTACTCCAAACACACATAATCACTACTTGTGTTTTATTATATGCACTTGTACATAAATATTAAAAGTCATCCGAATTGTAACCTTAAATTTCCTTAAATCATAAACAGTTATACCATATACATATATACAAATATTATTTTGAAGATGGGTTAA